AATGTGCAGGTTGCTAGGATTGGGTCGGAGGCTGGAGAGAAAGTCCAATACAGGTGAGTCCAAAAACCGAGTCTGAGGAAAGCATAAAAAAACTAAGTATCTAGGAAAATGGGAAAAAATGCAAGAAACAGATCTGGAGCCAATAGTAACCCTGCGTTCAATTATCTTCCCACTCCCATTTGGACCTCAGATTTGATGTCACGTTCGAGCTTGAAGCGTATTTTTATGTTTCGTGTGTCGGAGTACATGGATTATGATTATGACTATTCCCTCATCTTATGAAAACGCTGCCACTTCAGTTAATTTAATCTTTGAAATTTGCACTTTATTTTATATTATGATTTCTCTTCTGTTACAGCCTTAGGGACGTTAATGCCTGTTAAATCAAGTATTTGTTCAATATTGGCCTCACCACAAGTCCAACTACCATACCCATAGGCAGTGATACAGACGCAGTAAGGTATTGCAGTAATATGAGTGACTGAAACTGTCGTTTAAACCACCAAAGTGTCCAAACACGATGAAAACACTTCATATTTACATGTCACAGTGGGTGTAGCCATCTTGGTTTCTGACTTGGAATCCTTGCTCGTTTTGCTTTTTCCACCACCGAGGTCCGAGTCGTGTCGTCCCAGGAAAAGGGGTATGTCACGCATGTCACTAGGCAACTTCAAAGGCAACAAAACCGATTTGCAAGGATAATCAAACGCTGGGTTAGTACCATGGAGGATAAACCGTTGATCTGGCGAGGTGTAGGTGTTTGAACTGGTCTTTAATCCTGCAGGGGTGAAGACACACAAGGCACAGAGGGGAGGGGAAGACAGCACAAAAAAAAAAAAATGGGAAACCTGACACTTTATTAGTATAGTCTGTATACATCTCTAAAGCTCAAACTGCTCTGTTCCACCATGTGATGTCATCAAGTGGCAGTTTTTAGCAGTAGTTAACAGCTCCTTTTTATCTTTAGTTCAGTAGATAATGGCAATTCCAGGGCTGAAATTATCCTGATGATTCTAGTGAAGGTGTATGGAGTTTAAAAACACAGTGGAACACTCCCCATATTACCACATGACATTACAAAGTGGAGAGTTTTCTGTTTGAGAGAAGAACTCAGTTTAAATATGCAGGTTTTGTGTGTTAAACATGTGAGAATGAAATAAAACAAAACATTAAATAATAAAGCAGAAAATAAAATAATATGAGCCATTTAAATATGATTGAACAGACTTACATCACATTCAAAACTCATTATTAAATTACATTGTGACTAGATGACTCATTTTGTCAACATATCCTCCAATCAGACAATAACTTAAGCTTGAAGTCTTACAGTAATTCCCTTGAAGTTTCAAACAAACAAGTATCTTTTTTACAGCAGTCACAACATGCAAACTTTTATTTTTATTCACTGCAAATAAAACTACCTAGCCTGAATTTTGTCATATGAAGAAAAGGAAATACTTCTAGGAATCGTAAGGTTATTAAAATTCCTGCAGAGGGGTAGTGAGTTAGACATCTCATTGGGAGGTGCAGAGTTAGACTGTTCTCTGCGCTGTGTGCTGAAGTACAGAGAGAAGTGCCATCTTAAGACATAATCACAAAGTCTTTTTCATTGTTCCGTCCGTTTCCTCAAGATATGAAAACTGAAAACAAGTTCATATCAAAACAGAATTACAACTGGCCAACAGAAAATGGCGGTATAAAATTGGTTTTCTAGTGTGACTCGCAGCAGATTTTCAAGACCAAAGCTTTATGTTAACTTTGGAGTGATTAAATGGGAAGAGAATAACATCATGAATGGAAAATGTGGTTGCGTTGTGTACGGTAGTGAACTTTTAGACTGACCTCTGTTTACCCTTTGTATAATCTAATGGTTAATATAAGTATCATGGGCTCAAAAAAACATTTTTATTCTTTATCATTTATGTGTCTAAAGCAGTATAACTTAACATTATTTTGTACAAGTGCAGAAAAGAGAAAGCAGAGCCAAAACTCTCATTATACTGGACTTGTGCATTTACATGACAGTGCTTTTAGTCTATGAAGAAAACTCTTTGATAGAAAGTGTTATACTGAAGATTACTTTCTGTAGAAATAGCATAAAATGTGAGAAAATACAGTGCAGAGACAACCAAAGCTCCTCCAGCCACTGATGTACCTGGCTCAAAAATAACCATAATATAACCATAATAACGGTGTTAGGGTTATGGTGTTATGGTGATGATCTTTTTCAATTTTCCCTGGATCCCATCTCCAGATCTTGAACTAGATTTGGGGCCAATCCCATTTCTAATTTCTACTCCAATCCCTACCCCTTGCCCCTTGAAACTGAGTAACAAGGGGTAGGGGTTGACAGTAAACCCCTATGAATTGGGAACCCCTCAACAGTCACATACGTCATCAGTAGTCTCCGCCAGCTTTTACATAAGCAGACGTGACAAGCTTTTGCCAGAAATCCAACAGGCCGTCTACAATTTGTGAACTTCTTTGGTCTCTGTGGTCGTGGTAGCAGCCATCTTGCCGGTGATTCGCAAGGCATTCTGGAAAATTGCTCATACCCCTCTGAGCAGAATGGAGGGGTATATAGACCTACTACTTTCCCCTACCCCTCTGCTATAACGGTAACTGGTACATCCCTACCGCTACACGAGAACGTGCAAAACGGAGGGGTAGGGGAAAGTGGTACGGCCAAGGGGTGTAATGGGTTTCAGCCTTGGTCTTGTTTATGCATGTTTTGGGTTGATTGGACAAATTTGAATGCCCAGACCTGGGGAGAACTTGCAAAATCTGCAAAGAAAAGCAGGCAGCCCAGAGTAAATGGTAAAAATGGTAAATGGTCACATTTTTATGTAACACTTTTCCACATTTAAGGCACTCAAAGCACTTTACATCATGGAACCACTTCACACACATTATTCAAACTCCAGTGTACGCAGAAAAGACACTGGAGAGCAGGATTCGAACCGACAAACGCTCTACCAACTGCGCTACTGTAGCCATATAGTAGTACAGCACTGAAGGATAGGTCAGTTGCAGTGAACATCTTTCTCTATGGGTTCAATGAGGTCTACCATGCTGACAAGGAGCTTCTGGCATGTGGTTCCCAACTGATTAGATTATTTCTGAGTTCTAATTACCCCAGCTTTAAAAATACAGCCATTTTCCCTATGCTAGCTGACTTGGGTAATGACCAGAAACACCATCTTTTCCAATTACAATCCCTCCTGAATACAAACCACCATGGAGCCTCCCGTCTGGAGCTTCAACAGCCAGTCAAAAATCAACAGTGATGTGTACTTTATTATTGCCTGATAGCTTCTAACAGCCTCTCCAGACTCAGATCAGCCCAGTGAGTGGAAAAACAACACTCCAATCAACACTGACCTCAAGGCAATTGTTGGTAAAATACTGACGCTTCTTACTATAGAGCAGATGGGGAACTCAGTAATCAGTGGTTGGAGTTCATGGCAAAATGTTATAGGTTAGTTTGTGACACAGGCTGTTATTAAGAGCACCCTGCTATTCTCTATCCAAAGAAATCTGTAGGCTGACTTTTAAAAATCCATCAAAACTACAATGAATTGATATTACTGTAATGATAGTGTAAAGAAAGTACTCACATCAAGCTATGGTGGTTAGATGTGTCAGGGAGGACATCTGAAAAAAATAATAAAAATCACCTGTGACAATTATTAAAAAACCCATATTGTGCAATAAATGATGTTTTCTCATCACAAACATACCTGAAGTTGTGTTTTGTTTCATTTACACATGTTTAACTCACAAATCTAGGCTTTTTCTCAAACAAAAAACACTCATGTGGTAATACAGGAAGTGGCCCATTGTGCTTTTAAACCCTATACACCTTCACTAGAATTATCAGGATAATTTCAGTTGTGGAATTGCTTATATCTACTGAGCTTCATGGTGGAACAGAGCATTTTAGACAGATAAAGTAATATAATAATGTGTGAATGGAACAAAACAAACAGAATTATAACATGGCTAAACTCTCAGAAGGACCATTTTGTGTAGGACCTTTACTGTACACAATAAACAAAAAAATATTTTTCAAAACAATGATATTCAAGCAGAGGTATAAATTTGACTAAACTACGCAAAAGTTTCATTGTTTAGAAAAGAAAATTGTGAATCTTTGGAGACTCAAAACTTAGTGTTCTCAAAAGAAAACTTATTTAAACACAGCTAACAACACAACAACAATAAGGATGATTGTGAACACGCATTGTCTAACAGCCTGTTCACTGGGAAACAATTCTACCCTTGTTGCCATGACATCTGCTGGATTTTGCGAAAACGCCAATAAACTCTCTCCTGCTGAACTGGGAGGTCTCTGTCCAGGGTCCTGAACCATCTCGTCCAAGTCAGATCACTATTTTTAACTTTTTGGCCTACATGTTCCTGCAGTGATCGTGAATAATTTATCTTGGAAACCTTTTTTGTGTGCTGACATTTGCTCAGATCGTCCCCGGGCAACGCACCGGAGCCTCGAGCCCACACCCCATCAGAACTCACAAAGGTCACGCCATATTGATCTCACCTATGCAAACTCGGGTCGCGCGCGCAGAGCTTTGAACAACAAGACCCGAATTATATTGAGCTTTGTTCGAAAGAAAAACAAGTGGAAGCGAAGAGGATGTTTACACGTTTCGAATAATGAGCTAATGAGAAGAGTTGCTGGTCAGTGACTGGTGCGTAATACGCGCGCTCCGGGGTGGGGATTTCTTTGGAGAGGCTGGAGCTCGCGCACAACCACACGACTCTGCGCATCTACAGGTTGCCACGCGAACGCCACAGTTTGAAATGGGATTTTAAATGATGCGTGAGCGAGAACAGTAGACGTGAAAATGCCTTTTACTTTGCGCATGTTTAATTCATTGCTTGACATTTGGACTCTGTCGATACTTTTCTGCGCGTTTTTCTCGCCTTGGCTTTAAGTGCCTCAGCAGCACCATGCCAGAAGGACTGACGGCTACATAATGGCATGTAGGAGCGGCTGTTGCTGCGGCTCCATCAACGAAGACAACGCGAGGTTCCTGCTCCTCGCGCTCTTCATCGTCTTGTACCTTTTGTGCGGAGCCGCCGTGTTCTCCGCGCTGGAGCAGCCCAAGGAGCGCGAGGCGAAGGAGCGCTGGGAGCAGAGGTTTGAGCACTTCAGCCAAAAGTACAACCTGAGCAAAAAGGAGCTCAACAACTTTCTGAAGAACTATGAGGAGGCGAACGTAGCGGGGATACGCGTGGATATGATCAGACCCCGGTGGGACTTCACAGGAGCTTTTTACTTCGTGGGAACTGTGGTGTCAACGATCGGTAAGAGAAGAATAATTCATTCAGAAATCACACGCAAATGGATTCACAGTAACATTCTCTCGTTTCTGTGATTACTATTAGTATTATTCATTATTGATCATCATTATTAGCTTTACTTGACAAAGAATTTCTAGATGATTATTTATAATAATTGATTATAACTTTTGAAATAAAACCTGTAGATATACAATCACATGCAACATATCAGTATTTTTCAAGTGCAAAAGAGTGCTTCCTTTTCAGCTGCTTAAAAAAAAATCAGCTATACAAAATATGTTTTTACTTATTTTTTCTAGAGCAAAATAATGTTACTGTAAATATTCAGTAATTAGAAAATCTGAGCAGTAAAACGCCGTTCATACACTCAACATGTCTTTTTGTCTGTATCTACTCCACTTTACATGATTATTCCTGCCCCGTTTGTTTGTTTTAGAACATGTTTGGATAGAAATGAATAAGATTTGTCATTCGCCATTTAACCTACATTTGAGTGGCTGTCACCGAGGCAACCACTAATTGGAATCTGAATTAATCCAGTGTCCACATGAAGCTTATAATTGGTCCTCCATTTTGCTGAACATCTGGCTCTGTACCAGACTCCTGCTTGGTTAAAATGAGGAGATTTGAGGAGTTATTGTCAGCACTGAGATACACTGAATAGGCTACATGGTGGGAAAAGGGTTTGGTTCATTTGCACAGGTTGGCGTATCTCTCATTATAAGAAAATGCACATTCTCCCAGACTTGCTCAAATCAATTTAATGCACAACCTATAGGGTCTTCAGCAATTAGAATTTTAGCTGCTCTTTGTGTGAGCTACTGTGTCTAAATCATTTCCCTTGTGGATCAATAAAGTCTGTTTAAGTCTAAGCCTAAGTCTGATTCTAACTGCTTCACTCCTCAGTGTATCCATCCCCCTCAGTGAGTCCTTGTGCCCTCTGCTGGTGATTTTTTTTAAGTAATTGAAATCAGGAACTGACCTTCAGTTTTCCATACATATGTTAATTCAAAATGCTATGAGGGTAGTGTCCAATATTATTTTAAAAGGGCAGAAATTACATATCTTGATGATGTGTTGTCAAATTATATACTAATTAATCTATTTAACATGTTTTAAAACTGGTAGAGTATAAGACGTGATCACAATATCAACATTAAAAGTCTTATATTACATAAAACTGACACTTTTAAGCAATATTATAATACGGTTACCCCACAAAAACAAACAAACAAAAAAAAGTTGGGTGTTGTTTCATTCACACATGTAGCTCTTTATTATTAGTTTGTCTACATCTCTAAAGCTCAAAATGCTCTTTTCCAAATTGTGATGTCATGTAGTGCTAGTTTTGTGGAGTTGACAGCTGATTTTTACCTTTTGTTAATTAGAGAGTGCAATTCCAGATCTGAAAATACAGCAACATAATATGGGCTCTTTAACAAAATAAGAAAAAGTTTCTCAATTCAGATTAAGTATAAGATTTCATATAGTAGTTGTTTTTCCCAATAATCGTCAATACAACTCAGTAAGATTTAGTTCAATGAGGTTCATCTGGTTTTCCGATATTTTATATTATTAGCCCAAGAGTTTGTTTTCATACCTGACAGTTTCGACTGCTCACTAAGTGTCTTCCTCAGAGTGGTCACGTGATGTTGCTGTGACGTGTCCGGTCAGATGATTTATACAGGTTTTGGTGCTGTCTTCCTACTGGTGGAGGCACGACGACAGTGCAATTTGCAGTCAGACTTCCTCAGGACAGTATCCCAGGTGTGTGAGAGTAAAAAAAAACCCTCGTCCCAGTTTATAGTCCATGGGCACGTTTCCGTATTTCGATTGCCTCTTTAATCCAGCGACGGTGTTCGTTTTCCTCTGTCCCAATGATGTTTGCTCCATCCCAGTCCATAATGTGGTTCTCTTTTCTCTGCTTTGTGTTTTGTTGCTCGTGTGCACACCTTCGCTATTTCCTTCTCGCATTCTGTTCTATGTTCCTTCTTCCGTGTACTGAACGCCCTCCCTGTTTCCCCGATGTATGTTTTATTGCAGGACATGCAGGGTATTTCGTATATGACATTACATTTATGCTCCGGTTCTATTTTGTTGACGAGTAATTGCCTGAGTTTATAAAAAAAACCTGTATAAATCAGCTGACCGGACACATCACAGCAACATCATATGACCACTCTGAGGAAGCGCGCTAGTGAGCAGTCGAAACTGTCAGGTATGAAAACAAACTCTTGGTCTGAAAAAAGAACCTCATAATCAGTAAGATTTAGTTCGATTAGCTCTATATCTTTTCACAGTTCACAATGCAATGTTAAGTTTGAGTACAAGAAAAATTACAAGTCGACAAACTCACACCACCTACTCATTACCTTGAGCAAACTACAGCTTGTTGGAATCCTGCCAGTGTTCAAATCTTATTTATTCTGAGGACATCCACCCAACAGCATGGCCATACCCAACATGGTGCTCCTGTAAATATATATACAGTTTAGGGTGTTTACTGTTGGAAGAGGGGGATGTTTGTCACTGGCCTTTAAATATTGAAATTACAAATTGGGTCCATTAAACTTATTTATTCATAGGTTCCAGCTTCCTGTTTGTGTAGAAGGCGTTTGAAGGACCCTTCAGCCTTCAAAACGTATAATATTCTGTTTTAAATTGTGAATTACTATGGGAACAGTGCCAATTTTCTGTCATTTTGAAACCCATAGCTGAGGTAAATGATTTCCAAACTGTAAATGGAGGAAGAGGATTTTTTTATTTTATTTTATCTGCAATTATAATTTGTTCAGAGCTCTCATGAAACACATATTATCAGCATATTTCTTAGTATATGAAGTGAAAAGGATCAGTCTCTACACTATTCAATACTAAAACTATACAAGTATTTATAATGAAAGAAATCATATAAATAGGAGCTTTGCTGAATGCTTTTAGAATAGCCTTGATCTGAAACTCAAAGTAACTATTATTTATCTTGAAAATACATTCTGTTGAAGATCTTTAAAGGTGCAGTATGGTCCACCACTTGCTTGTTAATACCTTGAATGCTCCAGGGAATGGCTTTAAACTTGCATTTACCATCTTTTCCACACTATAGGGCGCTCTGGATTATCCGGCGCACTGTCACTGAATGGTCTATTTTCAAACTTTTTTCACATATAAACCGCACCGGACTATAAGGCGCATTAAACGAAACACAACACTTAGATGGGTTAGTCAGACTTTGTTTGGTGCGTTCATGGTGACTCTCAGCTTTGTTCAATTGTCGTGTGTAGGGAGGGTGATGTCTGGGACTGCTCGATTGTCGGCGTGTTCGCAGTGACTCAGTTGTTCAGTTGTGGCTAGAAGTGGCACATTGCGCTTGCTTTTTCGGTTCGTTCCTCCGTTCCATTCCTCATCCGCGTGGAGTGATGAGTGTGGCAGTGGGTGTTTTTCGCTGTGCGGTCGCTGTCTGCTCTGTGTGTGTTTGCGTGCGCTGCGGGTGATGCGGCTTTGTAGTTTACTGAAGTCGTGCTGGGACACCCAAGTGGATTCATGTATAGGGCGCACAGTTGTTTTTTGATGGGGTTGGAAACTTAAGTGTGCGCCCTATAGTGCGGAAAATACAGTATTCAACTATAGTTCATATATTGTTCATTTTCTTTTATAGAAAAATACCTTGCATTCTTACAGTGAGTGGATTTGACTCTCCACTGCTCTAACCTGTAACTTGTCTTTATTTTGGGACTTATTTGGAGAAACTTGAACACCATAGGGAAAGGAAAATCTCAATATAGTACTTTGAAAACATTGAGCACACTTATGTGAACGCAAGCCTTTTGTGGTATTTGTTTCATGTTGTCATTTGATGATAAACTCCAATTTGTTTCCAGGCATTTCATAGCTACCGTTCAAGGAAAGCTGCTCTTGTCTGTCAGATAGAAGAGAAGAGGCCTTGTGGAGGAGGAGGAGCTGGATAATAGACCTATTGATCCAACCATGTCAATGCTGTCATTTGATTTCACCCTCGTTATATTCTTTTTTGCTTGACTATACACCGAGTTGAAAATTGCCTATAGGTGACTGACACTGTAATGGCTGGCATGGATCATATAGTATTTGTATTTTTCTTTTTTTTTTTTCCCTGACCTACTTTTGCCAAATGGTAGTATGATGGCATCAGTGGTAAAAGTATGAATGCAAATTGGCGAGACATGGGTGGGCCGGCTGGTCTCGAGTATATGTGAATGAATGCATGTTCTCCATATTTTTCAATGGGCTTTGAAGAGCACTGTAGCTATAGGATGAGACACTTGCAATATCACAATCATTAACTACATTATTATGGTGAAGTGGCATTGAACACTAGCAGCATCTTTTGTGCTAATCTATAAAACAAAGAGTGATCTTGTCATGTATAATCTTAGCTTTCTCTTACGCTGCCTACACAATAGGCATTTATGAGAGAGCAATAATAATAGTCATCGTAATAATCTTTAGTCGTCTTGAAGGATCTACCGTGTTGCAATAAGTTGAGTTAACTTGATATCATGGCATTCAAATCAGTCCGTATTTAAAGGACACATATTAGGCAAATTGAGGTTTTAACTAGAGAGGGGCGTTCGATTAAATTTTCTTAATCAATTGTTGGGAGAATTAACGATCAATTATTTATTAATCATTAACGTTTTTATATTAAAATGATCATCATTATTATTACTATCTGCACTACTAATCTGCATAAATAAATTCAACTTTACGACATATAAACCGTAACCACTCTAGAGCCACATCAGCTGTTTGAGGTTATGTGTTTAATGCAGTTTTGCGCAACTCTCACAGAAACAAAACTTAAAACCACATGGCTAATTTGCATAAACTAAGCAAAGGGGAAAAAAAAAAAACAGCTCTTGTGTGCTGATGCAACATGACTCAGTGGAATACAGGTTAGTGTGACCATATTTAAGTTTGTCAAAACCAGGACACCGTACGGGGGGGTGAGAGGTGGGGCCTCGTCA